CTGACAGAAAAGGAAAAATCATGTAAAAATTCAGATACAGTTAATTTTCAAAACAATTACTACATTTTCCCATCAAAACAATGCAATAATATAAATACATAAAGGAAAAAGGTGCAGTAGAGATGACTGGAATCTAAGTTTTGTCAGTGAATGAGTAGATGTTTTTAGTATGTAAACAAATTGCAAGGATTCAGTTTACCGTTTCTTCAAATGTTACTCAATCACGTTATGCTTTTATGACTCGCAAAGTTGATACTTCGTTACATGTATGGCCCACTTTCTGTAAGTCGGTGGGAGATTTGGCCCACTTCAGAAAAATTCTACAAGCAACACTGAATAATGTTTACCAAAATATCCAGTCAAATAATGCTTTTTAAATTTTAGTGATGTTTTCTTTGCTAAGGTTATTCTTCTGATAAGGTGTTGAAGAATATGTATGTAGTGCTATGAAAATTTAACATAGAATTATACAGAGAAGCTTCTGTAAAAGAAATAAGAATCTCACTGTTGTTCTATCTTAACTTGAAACTTGGAGCTATTGCTACTTTCTTTGAATTATTCTCAAAAGACCTTTTTTGACTTCCAGGTTAGAAGAGAGAATCAAACAGAGAAGATTAGAAAGGGAGGAACTTGAAAAGAAAAGTGCTATTGAAAGAGAAAAACAGAGGAGGAAAACAGGCCAAGAACTAACTCTTGCAAAACAGAAGTTAGTCAAGTATTAACTGTTTCAACCAGTGTGTGCTTTTCAGGTGTCAAGTGCACACCTGCGTATCAAATTTAAAAATAATTCTAACTCTATTTTAATCCTTTTTTAACTCAAAGCTATCCGAAATGGCAGTTCTGAGAAGTCTTACTATAAACCACATATTTATCGAGTTTTTTCTGACCATCCGAAAGGAAACTATCATCCCTTGGAAATATAGTGATTCACTTCTTGGACATCTTTGTACCTTTCATTTTTCCCACCATTTTTAATCATCAATATCACATAATATCAAGGGAATCTCCCTCAAAACCAAATGATGTCATAATGCAGCCAATTACATTCGTTTGCATATCCAAATGAGCTAATTACTGTTTGGAATTTTCTAGTTACAGCACGGATAACACTTAACTGCATTTTTTTTTGCACTGCAGCAGTTAAACAACTCTTCTTAGTTCCCTTAAACAAACATTATTTAAAAGCAACAATGTTACAGCTTGAAAACGATACTGTTTGGATGGGAGGGTCAAATGAAGAAATTTTAAAAATAATTACATGCCAATTTTTTTCACTTTTAGCATTGGTGTGATCTTTAGTATTTGGCCTAAAATGGCATCACTGGATAATTCTGCAACATACATCTTTGGAAAGTACATAAAAGTGTGTTGTGGTTGAGATACTGATTTATCAGCATTGTTAATGGAAGGAAATGTTTAAAGCAATAAATAACATTTAACTAAGGGCGATTTTGTTCATTTTTTAGATACACTTTGCTTATAGCATATAGCTCTCCAACAGACGTATATCTTAGAAGTAGGGAACACTTCTTTAAGATTGGATATGTTGTGGGTATCAGGCAGGCAGGTTGACCGAAATTTAAAATTTGACTCTATCTGCTGGAGCCCTATAATTGGGCAGGAGTTATTGTTCAGTTTGATTGGTTGATAATACATAGCACGCATGGTCTATATGATGCATGTGACATGTAGTACAAGTAGCATCTGTACGATGTACTTTATTAGCCTCGTGTTTGTGTTTTCCGAAGTTATTTTTTAATAATTGTTTAATGTGTGCATTTATGTACGTATTTATATATCATGCACTGAATGCAGAAGACAGGAATAAAAATGCCAGTTAGTACTTATGTCTAGCATGATGTTTGTTAAAATGACATTAATTTTTTGTCCAGAATTCAGATAAGATCACACTGCTAGGAGTTTCATCCAAGTAATTTCACTATAATGTATAAAAACATTTCGATTCAGTGTACTTTTCTTCACATACTGTTTTTGTTAATAAATTACACTTTTCTAAGCCTATTTTGAGGTTTATTAAGTGAAATTATTATCTAAGTTCAGTGTTGGCTATACATGTATATTTTTTCAGCTGTTTACAACAGTTTCTTTATCGTTGTATACACATACACACGATGGGAGATTTAATCATTGTGGAATAAGTGTTTTATTGCTGTTATTTTTTCATAATGCTGGCCACTACACTATACTAACATGTTATGTCTGGACATTAATCATGTGTGTAAAGTGAAAAGTTCATACAGTTTTATTTACCACAATTAATGTCTGACAAACGAACATTGTTGATAAATAATTAGTGTTGCTTCTAGGACGTGTACTTTGCATATTTATGCTATTTTGATTGCCACTGGTACAAAATAATCGTTTGCCTGCATACTAGTTCGTGCAGAAAAAACAACAGAAGTGTGCGCCTGCCCTTCGTAATGATAGATTGCAAAAGTTAAATATGTTATCCATGCAGTTAAATGTTATCCATCTACTAAATACCATTCTGTTAATACATGTGACATTATACAGCTGAAATAAAATACTCATAGAAAAATACTCCTGCAACAAGTGAGGAATGATTATGAGAGGACGTTTAGTTTATTTTATGCTCTATCAACATGGTGTGTTCTTTTTGTTTCATAAGTCCACTATTGGAAAGTTCTGTAAAATATGTTTGGAAAGATCAGTTAATTATGTAAAAGACTAGCTGTGTACCCGTCCTTCGTACGGG